GGCTGGGGGCAGCGGCAGCGGGCGGCTGCGGTGGCCTGGCGCAGAGCTGCCATCAGGGCCTCGGGAGGGCGCGAGCTGGTCAGCTTCACACTCCAGGGGAATCGGAGCAGCCGGGGGGCGGTTTCCGCTTGATCCCAAGGTAGATGGCAACTGAGACGGGGGATGAGAGAGGTCAGAGGCGGGAGGCAGGAGGGCACCGAGGGGCTGCCTCCCACTTCGGGACAGCCTCCTATTTGTCCCTCAGAAACCATCCTCGCCAGGTGTGGTGGCTCACGCCTGGCATCCCAGCACTTTGGGAGGCGGAGGTGAGAGGACTGCCTGAGTCCAAGGGTTCGAGACTAGCCCGGGCAACTTGGTAAGACCTCGTCTCTACAGTAAATAAAATATTAGCCTGGCGTGGTGGTGTGCCTGTGGTTCCAGCTACTTGGAAGTCTGAGGCAGAAGGATCGCCTGAGCCCAGCTGGTCCAGGCTGCAGTGGCCATGAGGATGCCGCTGTACCCCAGCCTAGGCAACACAGTGAGACTCCGACTCAAAACAAACAAAACACAGCCATTCTCCCCTTTGCCCCGTGACAGTTTCCTATAGAGTTGCTCAGTTGGAGATGACAGATCCCAGCCTCCCTTGCAGCCAAGAGGGGCCTTGTCTCCAAATTCCGGAATGCGAGAAGCGAGGTGTGCGAGGCCACACCACCTCCTTCAAAGGAACAGCACGCCCCGGGTTGTCCAGCTCTACCTCCCGGGAGCTGGACCCGGCAGCAGCAGGGCCAGCCTCGACTGTGCAGGCGATGACAGGGCTCCAAGGGAGGGGATGGAAGAACCTGGGGACATGAGCGTCCTCATGGAACACGGTGGCCCTACCAGCCTGGCTTGGCCACATGGGTGGTTTGAGAAATGGATTTCCATCTGTATTGTGTGCGCGTGTGTGGGGGGTGGGCCTCTCTGTTGAAGCAGCCGAGCTCGTGGTCTACCGAAGACATCCCTCTGGTAACCACTGTTCCCTTGGGGGACCAACGGTCTTCAGCGCAGAGCTGGGGTTTGTACCCAGCAGCAGTACTGGCCGCACAAAGGGGTATTTGGGCATCTCTGGGGGCTTCTTGATCGTCACGACGGCTTGGGATGGGAGTGCCGCTGGCGTTTACTGGATTGGGGGCGGGGGTGGGTCAGGGATGACTCCTGTTCTGCAAAACTCGAGGGGGGTCCTGCACGGTACCAAGACCGTCCCTCCCGAGCAGCACTCCGGGTCTGGGCTCCCCGGTTCAGGCGGGTCTGACAGTCCCTGAGCGCCAACAGTGAGCACGGGACTCGGCTCCGCCAATGACAGCGCTCTACCTTCCCAAACACGGTGATTGGATAGGGAAAGACCACATGACTAGGCCTGACCAATCAGAGCTTACCTCTCCGGCCGAAGGCATCGGCTCGGGGATGAGTATGTGACCATGTCCCCGCCAATGAGAGTCATCCTTGGGATTTCCTGGGAACTAGCGGGAAGGCTTTTGTTCTATGTGGGTCTCTAAACTGCTAGTGTCAAACTAAACCAGGGCTTGGCGGACTGTAGTGCTGCCTGCTTTTCTAAATAAAGTTTTATTGGAATACGGCCACACCCATTTGTTTTGTGTTGAATATGGCTGCTTCAACAGGCCAACATGACTGGCCCTTGGAGCCTGAAATATGTATGAACCGTCTAGGCCTGTACAGAGAATGCTTGCCACCCGCTGCCCAGAGCTGCCAGCAGCCTCCTGCCATCATTGTGTGGGAAGTGCAGGAGGCAGGGCTTTGACTAGGAGTTGGGTTGCAGAGGGGATGAGACCAAAGTCCAGGCCAGGAGTGGTGGCTCATGCCTGTAATCCTAGCACTTTGGGACGCAGAAGCGAGAGGTTTGTCTGAGCCCACAGGTTCAAGACCAGCCTGGGCAACGTGGCGACCTCATCTCTACAATAAGTAAAAAATTAGCCACGCGCGGTAGCATGCACCAGTAGTTCCGGCTACTTGGAAGGCTGAGGCCGAAGGACCGCCGGAGGCCAGCAGGTCGATGCTGGGGTGGCCGTGAGTGTGCCACTGCACTCCAGTCTGGGCAACAGAGTGAGATTCCAACTTAAAAAAAAAAAAAAGAGCCGGGCTCGGTGGCTCAGCCTGTATAGAATTCAGACGGTCAAGGGAAAGTGCTCAGGGATGAGAGGACTCGATGCAGGTGTCAGAGGAGCTGGCACTTCAGGAATTTGGCCTTGCAAGGTGAGACCTGGGGCCCCACCTAAGGTCTGGGGTGATGCAGTGAGGTGCTGAGGGAGGTGAAGGGAGGGGGCTGATGTGGCAGTCAGGGGTAGGCCCATGCACTCACCTTGTGACCTCAGGTCCCCCGATTCTCTCAGGTTCGTCTGCGACCCTAGAGGAGAGGAGGGGGACAGAGTGTCTAATCTGGACACAGGAAACCCCCCTCCCCCAACCCACTGCCTCTGAGACTCCAGGCAGCTGCAGCCTCAGCCCTAGTCCCTCCCACTGGCTGGAGCTGGGCTGGGGAGGGTCCAGATTCAGGATTTGATCTCCCTGTCCTTCCCCAGAAGGGGGATCATTCTGAGATGATTAGTGCAGGTCATAGGAGAGATACTGAAGAATTGGAAGATGAAAGAGAGGGGAGGAGGCAGAGACACACCTCTACACAGAGAAGTGGCCACAAAGAGAGACAGACACACTCACACTCGCATTCAAGCTTTGCTCAAACAACACCTCTTTCATGAGGTCTGCCCATTTAAAGCTGCCCTCTCTCTTCCCCACACCCCTCACCCTCCCTCTCTCTGCTCTATCTTTTTTCTTAGTTCTTACCACTACCCAATGGTCTGTATATTTTACTGTTTCCTGTCAGGGTCCCTTGGTAGAATACTGACTCTGCCAGGGCAGGGATTTATACTTTTTGTTCTCTCTCTACTCCAGAGCCTAGTACAGGGCCAGGCACACAGTAGGCACTCAATGAACAACAACAGCAGCCAGTAAAAACAGCAAATTATTTATATTTGTAAAGCAATGTGCAAGGCAATGCTCTAAGCTCAGTTCACACATCAACAATCCTAGGAGGAAGGCTCTGTTATTACCATCCCTACTTTAAAGAAGAGGAAAGCAAGGCCCAGAGGGGTTGAGTGACTGGCTTGAGGCCACTCGGCAGAGCTGGGACCTGGATTCCCAGCCTGGCTCCAGAGGCCATGCTTCTGCGAGTCAGTGAACACCAGAGCCCGCATACAGACCGAGCACCCGCTCACATCCACAGAGCCCCCTCCCTGATGCCCACCACGCAGTTCAGACATGCAGGCAGGGAGGCAGAACTAGCGAGAACGGAGCATGGACAGGACTTACTGATCTTGGATCCCTGGGGCAGAGAGGCGCCCGAAACGCAGCGGTTAGAGTTCTGCCGTTTAGAGGGATCGAGGGTAACCCTGCAGTGTGAGGAGGGAGGTGAGGGGCGACAGGGGAGGAGGAGACGGAAGAAAAGGAGGAGGAAACGTGGTGCAGGAGGCAGAGCAGAGCAGAAGACAGGTTAGGCCGCCCGGCCCCCCGCCCGCCCCGCCCCCGCCATCTTGGGCGCTCACCTTCGGGTCAGTTTGGAGGTCA